AAACTAATATAATCAATAGAAAAAAAAAATTAAAGTTATAATATTACTCTTTTTTTTTTTTTCAATGATGTTGTATATTTATTATTAGTGATGGATCAATAATGAGATGTAATTCAAAGTAATTAAACCTAAATTCATGGCTTGATAATGGGAATTAGATTTTGGGTGGGTCCCACTTCTATCATTTTCTCCCTTCCATTAGTTAAAAGCGCTTGGATTATGTCACTTAGTGTAACATTTGATGTTGTCAAGAAATAAGTGGATAAAAAAAAACTGTCAAATGAGATAACGACACATTGCAGGATGTAAACAAAGGCGTAAACCATCGGGTATACCCTGTACGCGGTTTCACTGAGTTTCTGGGTTGACTAACGAGTCGTCTCTTCTACATATAAAATTCCCAAACTACCCTTCTAGTGAGTCCCACTTCTATCTCTCGCTGTTTTTTGACTAAAGATTCCATATTTCCATTTTTTCATCTCTCCCATTCCCAAAATCGATTCTCCAATAATAATTCATCTCTCTCTATCTCACTGTAAAATACTTGACCGTATAAATCAAACCCAAATTCCCCTTCTCCATCGGAATTTGCAAGAAAAGCGTTAGTTCAATCGGAGCCATGGCTGTGAGGGGTATGCTTTTGTTTGTGGCAGTAACTGTAATTTCTACATCACTAATGGCTCTGACGGCGCGTGGGAATTCCGAAGGCGACGCGCTTTACGTGCTACGCCGGACCCTGTCCGACCCGGATAACGTGCTTCAGAGCTGGGATCCGAACCTCGTTAACCCTTGCACCTGGTTTCACGTTACCTGCAACCAAGACAACCAAGTCACTCGCCTGTACGTTTATATATATTTGTTTATCTATGTGTATGTGTATATATTTGGGGTATGTATGTGTTTGTTTTGGAGTAGAATTATTAGTTAAAATTTGTATGTGATTAAGTATGGTTTGTTATTGAATTAATTGCTTTCTTGGAATTCAAATCAAAGCTATAATTTTTTTTTGTTAGATTTTAAATCTTTTTTAGTTCAATTGACATTTCTATGCTTATGAATGGTCTTTTTGAGAAATTTGGTGTTAATCTTTTCCCACTTGGACTGCAACTTCAAATGCTGGTGAATCTTTAATCCTCTATTCCTGTTAGTTTTAAGCGAAATCAAATCAAAAGTTCGGCTAGCTGCATAATTTTGATTTGGGATGCACTCTATATAAGAGGGATTCACGGTTAAAGCTGAGAGCAAGAAAAATAAAATTTGAAATAACAAGGGGAGAATTTGATGTCATTTTTTTAATTTCTAATCTCCACGTACTCAAATAAGAATGGGTTGCCACTGTCGGATTCGCGTGATAGTTTTGCATATTTTGTCATAATTTTAGTTTTAAGTTTCGTTGTGCTTGATATTCACTGTAGGATTACCAAGATACTTTTGCAGTTTTTATCATGATCTACTGTTGGTTTTAATCTTTGACGTGCTCATTTGGTTTCAAGAACTAATATATCTATATTTTAGCACTTAGTGTTTTAAATGGGGATAAAAGGAAAATGATATATGTAATATCTCATATATGACCAACATAACTTTTCATATAGTTCACAAGAGATCGAATCAATATTTGATGTGAGATGTCTTATCCTGTCACTGTTCAATATTGTCAACATTTTCTGAAATATTATGCCTGACTCTTCTTAAATGATGTTCTGGGGCTTAATGAAACTAATGAATCATTTTTTCTCTTTCTAACAATTAACATTTTAATTCAGTATTCATTTTAATGCTTTACGTTTTCGCAGTTTCACCTTGTATCTGAACCTTACTTGTCTTTTATTTTTTTATGATTATACATCCTCAAATATGTTTTGTTGTGATTTTCTGCAGGGACCTTGGCAACTCAAATTTGTCTGGTCATCTGGTACCCGAACTTGGAAAACTCGAACATCTGCAGTATCTGTAAGTACTTTTTTATGCAAAATCGTTTGCAACGTAATTATTACTTTTATATTTGTTTTCGTTTTTCGTTTTTCTTTAATTTCAGTTAGCTGTTGTATACACGAACTTAAGCATGCTGAAATAAGCTGTCATCTTTCAGGGAACTTTATAAAAATAACATTCAAGGGAAAATTCCAGCTGAGCTTGGTAACTTGAAGAACTTAATAAGTTTGGATCTGTACAACAACAATATCTCGGGGATAATCCCTCCTTCATTGGGAAATTTGAAATCTCTCGTCTTCTTGTAAGTTTAAGCTCATCGCGTTCGAACATTTATCTGATCCATGTGTCATTATTTCCACACGTGGAGGGTGGTAGCCTAGGGATTGCACGCATTATTATCATCTATATACTATATTGGTATGCCACGATCTAGGAGATCAGAACTTTTCTCTTTATTGAACCGCTTCAAGAATTAAGAGCTTAAATCTCTCACTGTCATTATATTAGGTCATCCGCACGTGAAAACTAAGCATTTGATTCAAAGTCAATAACCCTTGTCTACTTTGGCAGGCGTCTTAATGACAATAAGCTAACCGGGCCAATCCCAAGGACACTTGCTGGTATTTCAAGCTTGAAAGTTGTGTAAGTGCTTATGATTCGAGTTTCAACTATTCATACTTTGTTTATGGCTTAATGCTAATGTTTAAATTTTCATTTACAGGGATGTCTCAAATAACAATTTGTGTGGTCCAATCCCTACAACCGGTCCATTTGAGCACATCCAATTGGAGAAGTAAGATATTCTGTCATCTTTTAAATTTTGTTTTGATTATTTTCATATTGAATAATTCTCTGTGTACAGAACTATTCATCACAGAAAATGGCCAGAACACTCACATGGGGGTGGTCCCCATGTGAGTAAAATATTGAACCCGTGTTCTGTAGGCTGTTTTTCTGTACACAGCCCGGTTGATTCATATTTACTAATTATTTCATTCATTTTTTTTTCTGGTTGTCCGGTTATGTTCATATGTCAGTGTTATCTTTACTCGTTTACCGCACTAACCTCTGTGCATGAGCTTCTGTTCTTAGAATCGGTACAAGGACTTGTGTCTTGAAGTTGCTTCTTTTGCACTTTCTCTGTCTTCCTCCATTAATCTTCTGTAACACGTGTTTTTTAATGAACACTTCCATGGCTTTTGCAATTTCTCTGTCTTCCTCCATTAATCTTCTCTAACGTGTTTTTTAATGAACACTTCCATGGTTTTATACCGAGTCATAATTGTTTTCTTTATGTGCAGCTTTGAGAACAATCCTCGTCTGGAGGGACCTGAATTGCAAGGACTTGCCGGTTATGATACAAACTGCTCATAAGAAAACTGTGAATAGATGCAGAAATTTGCAACTATTTCATGTTGTTCTAAATAGTGTGTTTCTTCTTAAATATTAAGTCGCGTGTTGTACCTTAAGACGCATATTGTATGAATAATTGTCACTGTAGGTTGTTATAACTGTTAATTTCGATTATTTATGGAAAACTTTTCATGCTGCCTCCATCAGTTACTGTAATTTTCTTTTTCCAAGTGCTCTTTTTTTTACCCTCCTCCATAAAGTGGAAATGATACTGTTGCCGTTGACAAATTCCATGAACAGAATGACTAAAAGTTATTACTTGTTCACGACAGTTCAAATTCGAATAGGCCCTCATACAACATCTCGAGTTACTTAGTAATTTATTAAACAATCAACCAGACAAAAACTTTAGTGCGACAATCCTATATGAAAATATAGTATGATTATATTGAACCCCTCAAGCCATGACACCTCAAATGTTGAGTGGCGACGAGATAAACTCTATTTAGCATTCGAGGTATTGTGACTAGAATTGTTCAAAGTTTGAGACGACGTGATTCAAGTGGATCTATCAGGTGTGCATATAGGATCGTTTTGCTAAAGTACAATTGAAGAGGTCCCCACCTTTGTAGCAGGCACGAAGATACGTTCTTGAAATCCACAACAATTTCTTTGGGATGATAAAAATGAAGTGCACGTTTTTTCATTAACATTCAAAACATCTAGGCATCTACAGGAGGGAAGAGAGAGATTCCCAGTAAATTTTCCTTGCCCAGAAAGAAAAAGAGAGTGCAATTTTTTACAAATGAATGGCATTCACAGAAGTAATATCTGCACATAATCAACAAGAAACTCATTCCAATTGTAACTTTTACATCATAAATACAGTATATTAGGAGACATTTACGAACTAAAACAAGGATCTCCTCATATTTTAAGAACACATGCTCGAATCGTAAGTTTATGTTCAAAAGTGCAGTACATAACAACGTGAAAGGTCGAAACAAGCCTCAAAACCGCCCACAGAAGAAAAGTAGACACAACCCGAAGAAGGAAAATCTCACCACGCTGAAGAACTCCAAGAAATAAATAGACACGCATTCTTGAAGGAAGTCACCATCTCGCTAATCACTTGAAGCAACATGAACAAAAACCCAACACCGTTAAAGAAAAACACAATGAGCAACAAAATTAGATGTGACTGCATGCCCCTTTTCCCAATGGAAAGCACAAAAGAGGGCAGGCACACCATTCTCTTCCCGATCTTCTTTGCTTTCTTATTCTCTTTCAGAATCACTAGAACTTGAGTCGGAACTTGAGCTCAACTTTTGGGAATTTTTCTTCTAGTCTTTTAAAGATGTAGTTGAACTCGTGTCTTTAGGTATTTCAACTTCACAGTCAGGCTCTTCAGCAGAAACTGTGTCTACTTCTTTTACACCATCTTCTTTAATACTTGATTCCGCATCCTGGTTGGACGAACTTACTGCATGCGCTCTGACTTCAGCTGATCCATCCTCCAAATTTGGCTTCAGAATTTTACCTAGATTACCTTCTTCGACTTTCTTTGGGACCAATTTAATATCTTCAGAAGGTATTGGATCCACAGCAAGAAATTCTGAAGGGGGTCCTTGTATGTCCATGGACTCCAGCGCATGTAGAGCATCATCAACTGAATCAGGCGGGGTATGTGTCTGAACAATACTATCATGGCCTTGCGACGGAACCAAAATGGAATCTTCAGTCGATAGAACTTCAAGAATTGGTGCTCCAACTTCAGTTTCCTCCCCTACCAGCTCAGCATGGGTTGGCTCAACATCAATAGGCTTCTCGATTTCTCTCTTGCCGATTTTCTTAAACACCAAGTCACTATCTTGAAGTGTTTGTGCTTCGAGTTCCGGCATTACAGCATCGGCATCTACATCAACTAGATCTCGATGCATTATCGCAGGCTCTACATCCACGACATCAGATTCCATGGATTTTAATTTGTATTCCTTAAAAATAGATTCAATATCTTCTATGGATCGCACTTCAACTATACGCATACTAGAATTATTTTCTTCGGAATTCAAATCGTGCTCGATTTCCTTTTGGTCAGTAGAGTCCTGGGCATCATTTCCAGCAAATCCTCCATTTGATGAACCAACATGTTCAATTGCATCGGTAGCCTCATGTGGTGAAGAAAGGCTTTCTTCAGAAGAATCCACGGGTTTTTCAAACTTGTCGAGGCTTGATTGACATTGGTTGACATCAAAATCACCAACCGTATCCAACTCTGACAATAGTCCATCAATTTCCTTGATCTCACCCGTAGCTTCAACCATAATATATTCGTCAACATTAGAACTCATTGCTTCCGCTGGAAAGTTGGAATTATCTAATTTTGAACTTGGATCACCATTTCCAACTTCACCCCTGGTGATCGTGTTCGAATTCGATAAACTTGCAGGGGTTTTATTTTCATAGCCCTCTGATGGAATCGAAATAGATTCTGGACTCGATGGAGAGTTGACATTTGACAGGACTTCAGCATCAAGTTTTTTGACATCTGGGATGTTCAAGCTGTCTCTAGTTCTTGCTCCCTCAATTGACTCGAACATGGTATTAGGTGCTTCCTATATCATATCAGACGAGATCATTAGTTATTCCCTGCAGCCTAGTATGTCCATGCATGCATGTGTGGATGAGTCAGCATATAGACACATGCAATGTACCATCACAATACAGAAATAAAATGTAAATAGAGTAAAATGGCACTTGGAAACGGAAGAAATGTCATGCACACGTGTGTACGTATATGTATTTAGACACACACTTCACCATCATAGTACAGCCATAATACATAAATAGAGTAAAATGGCACTGGAAACAGTAAAAATGTACCAGAGCAGAGAAACTGAAACATTGATCAATTTCTTGAAGTACGATTATGAAAATAAACTACTCATGTCTCCCTCTTTCTGCCATAGATAAATAAAAATATCATTTTCTTAAGTTAAACCTGCAGACTGATTATCTGATAAAAAGTGGAAAAAAAATTATTAATTAAAGATTTTGCGACTACATCTAGTAAATATTGTTAATTCTTAAAAGAATATCCATTCTCAGAAGTTTCCTGCTAGTAGAATATCCTTGTACATAAAGTACTCTGTACCGTTGTCCAAGGAATATAAAACATATGAACTAGAAAGCACAAATCCAAATGTGCATAACAGGCTCATACAGTTGTCTTTACAAGGTCAAAGCTCAATCATGATAATTGATGTCACAACATTATCCATATGAAACTCACTATGATTGATGCTATAAAATTATTAACAATTATTCTACAAGGGACTGGGACTTTATATTCTCATACTGTTGTATTTTTATTTTCCTTGAAATCTGCAGTAATCTAGTAGTGAAAGATCTTGAAGTCTCAAATGGACAACTAATTGGTGAATTTATGCTGTTGAGCTTGTTGCATTACTAAATCCTAAATTCTATTATGTGGCTTATCGCATCACCCTAGCGGCAATGACAATGCCTCATTTCCTCATTCCTCGTTTCGTCCCTGTGACAGAACTTCAAATATTCCAAATCCCTCTGCATGCTAGGTCTGGGCATCTTCTCGTTCAATTTATATAAAAATGAATTGGAACTGCCATTAAATGGTTTGCCATAAAGGGAGGTAACTAAGCTCTAATAGAGCCCCGCACATTTTCATTTTTTTTCTATTAGAAAAACTGAAGCAGAATGAGCTACAACTGAAGTTTAATAATTTTTTTGCTTTTCAACTACCAGTGGACTACATATATCCCAAGGCATAGCCCAACATGAAGATTGAAAAAGATACCCAATAACTACCTATATCACAATACAGGGCCAATAACTCATATTCTCTCCCAACAATCTAAATATTCTTCTTTGACTTCATCAATGCTCCATCACAATCCATTATGTGAATGCATCCACCTACACGTTTTTCCAAAAGAACATGGGATCTAAAGATCAAATTTTAAGCACTGCCATGAAAAATTACGTACCCACACAGATTACAGGAATGTGATAATGTGGCACTAATCTCAAGGAAGCTAAAGTAAAGGAGGTCAGAATTGTTCATACTAAAGTTATTTTAAGGATGCCAATGCCATTCCAGAATGAAGACCCAAAAACTACTCCTGTATATAGCTCAAGCTTAGTTCAAGAAACCCAAATTTACAATAAAAACCACCTTAAAGAAATGAAGTCATTGCAGATGGTTATAGTACATGCCAATGCCTTTTTTTCTGCAACTGAAAGCCAATTGGCAAGACTAGTTAGTAGTTAGTAATAGAATCTGGACATTTTTAATTCTCTTGACCACTAAATCCAATCGATGATATTTTCCAGCATCAGTACCTTTATACAAGGCATCTTCAAAATCAAAGAGTCAACTGTCAATTTATTTTCCCCCTTTTCTGGGTTGGGTTGGTTTATGGAGGCAGGGTGGGAGCTTTATTCCATTTTCCTAAGTCTATTAAGCATCCCCCAGGATGATTGTCGCTTGAAGTTTGAGGGTGGACTTTCCACTGCATGGCCACGGTGTTTGTATGATTTGCATGTCCTGTTTCTCAGAATTCAATGTCAACATGTGCTGAAATCCAATTGAATACATTCAACTAATGTAGGAAAGTGTATCCTAACATGCAGATTGCAGAGACCCTATTCATTGTATGAAACTAGTCTTGGGAAAATCATGAACATAAGAAAAGATAGTTGGATAAAAAGTCTAGGAAAAAAAGCTGACATGCTAACATTCATGCATTCAGGGATGCAGAATATGTACAGTATATGAATACTTGATCCCAATCCTTGGATGACGAAATGTCAAAGACATATTTGCACAACACGACTATATCATGTTTATCTTTATAAATTACTTTTTTATATTTCACAATCTATTTACGTAGTGGTTGACTGCACTGTTAAATTATTGTCTAATTAAAAATGCAAGTGAGATCCAGTAGAAGCCGTAGAGCTTGACTTACCTGCACTTCATTACAGTGGTCGAAAGGTGGTTCATTCATTGGTTTATCCGTGAAAGCCAGTTCGTCATCAGAGCGAGAAATTGATTTTTGATCAGTATAATGTGAAGAAATCAGCCTCTCTTCTGCTTCATGGTGAAAACCCACATCAAAGTTCACATCAGAATCAGACAATTGAACCTGGAACTGAACAAACCGAACAGCTTCTTCCTTGTCAATTGAATTTTCGTCAGGCAATTGAATCGTGAAAGGAGGTGTATTGAGTTGAATAACTGGAGCTTCCTCAGAAATCAAAGAATGCTTTTCCTCCTCTGATTGAACCAAGTTTTTTTCTGCAGATGACTTGAAAGTCTGCTCTGAGACAGGGTCAACCATGACATGAATATCTTCAGTGAAACTTGAACTTGAAACTTCACCTTTTGCATGCTGATAACTGCTATGTTGATACGAAATAGTTTCTTCAGTTGAAGCTTCAGCAGGCGATTCCACATGAATTTGGTCAAATCCTGAGATTTCAGAGTCCATAATATCATTCTCTCTTATATCCACAAGATTCTTTGTCCCTGATTCATTTTTATCTACTGGATGCGGCTTTGAGAATTCAGTCAACATCTCGATGGTATTAGAACTGTCCTCCGTTTCCCGACTACTCCCTTCAGATTCTCTCTCAATAACAGAAACAGTCTGCTTAACCAACTCAGGCAGCAAACCATGTTCAGACTCTTCATGCACATCAGAGGACGTAGCACACAAAGTAAGGTTCTTCCTAAATGCTTGGGGGCTTGAGTCATAAACAGGATCCTTGAATGGATTATCGTCAACCGATGCACTAATGATATTATGATTAGCACTTTCCAGTGAAGGGTGAGTTGAAATGTCTCGCCCTTCAGGAAAAGCATCTCTCCTTTCCTCCAATGTTGACAAACCGTCACCTTCTTTCCCAATGACGATCATTTCACTCACTTCTGACGATGATGAAGAGCTTGAACTACTATTGTATCTCTGTTCACCAGCTTCTACAGATGAATGAAATTCAGTTGCTAGGACTTCCTCTGATTTGGCTACATTTCCTTCTTCATAAGGATTTTCCATGTCTCCCAATTGAATATCAAGCTCATCAACATCAGCATCTCTCTTCTCAACTTGGCCTAACTCCAAGGATTCTACGTCTTCAGAAGATTGGCTTCCATGTCCAACATACTCTGAAACATCCTCAATCTTGGAGATCGGCTCTGGTTCCCGAGGTATATCTTCTTCAACATTGTCTTTCATCTCAGAAATCAGCTCAATCTCCCGATATATGACCTCTTCAATGACTTGTGTCTTGGAAATCACCTCTGGTTCCTCAGAAATATCTTCTTCTGCCAGCTTTCTATCTTCCAGATCCCCAACCGAACCAATAGATTCTGTTTCGGGAACAGAACTCACCTTAGAGTCACTAAGTTCACTTAATTGTCGCTGAAATTGTGAAAAGCTGGTTTCTTCTGAAATCATCCCTTCCGGCACAAAATATGGCCTTAATTTGATATCCCTCTTCTCTTGCCTATTTGGAGCAAAAATTGAGGGTCCCACATTAAAACTCTCATGTCTACGGAAAACCGGTTCCTTTGGTTGAAATGTCATAAACTCCTCTCTAAAATCATCGCCTATAAGATCTGGCTTCTCTTCACTTGAGTCATAAGGAATATCAAAAGGATTTCGCCTTGGTAATAAAATAGATGGAGCAGAACCAGGAATCGGAGGTAGCCCAGAATTATCATGAGGAAGGTCAAATGGGTTATGCCTTCTTGTTGAAATTGGTGCAATGTTGAATGGAAGATCAACACTTTCTAAGTCTATCAAGTTCCTTTCCAGCAACATGCTCATATTTTTCCTTGCTCTCCTCCTTGCAATTAAATTTTCTAACCGCTGATTCCTTTCGAGCTCAGAACTTCCCAGATCCATCAGATTCTTTTGGTCCTCTTCCGTCCACGTAATAGCAGGTTTCTTCTGCTCCTCTTTGTCTCCTAGTGTATCTTCTTCATATTCAGCATCTTCATTATCATCATCTGCAACTTCTAGGTCCACGCGATTTTCGGTCTCATCAGCCGACTCATGACTGCCAGTACTGGCTTTTGGAAAATGTTCTGACGCCGCATCAGATCCATAATGGGACAAATGAACAGGTTGAGGAACATCTTCGTCCAAAAGTGGGTGAAGTTCAGCAAGCATCGGAATTATGTCAGTCATTGAAGCATCTGGAGAGGAACTCTCAGCCATATCAGACTCAGAATCTAAAATCCCACACTCTGCTTTCTCTTCCTCCTCCACTTCTATTCGTTTCCATGGTGACCGAGGAGGAGAATCTAGAGAATCTACATTTACCCTCTCAGAATCAAAAGAATCAGCTTGTGACTTATCGTCATCTGATTCAAGATGTTCATCATTAGGAATAGGAGGACACTGATTCTCCGAAAGTATCTCATTATCAAGTTTCTCTTCTTTTAATTCTCTCTCCTGCTCATGTCTCGAATCACCCGACTCTCTTTGTGCTTCCTCGGTTATCTTATTCTCCCATTTAATTTCCCGGGATCTTTCCTCAATCAATGGCACAGTATCATCCAAACTATCACGTCCATCAACCTCATTAGTTTTACCAGCTTCTGAACTCAATTCTGCTGTCAACTTCTCTGCTGAATTGCTTCTTTTCTCATCATATCTCTCAACTGAGTAGCTCTCACTTCTCTCAACTACAGTAGAATTCCCGGACAACCCAGTTTTCAAAGATACGATCCCATCGTTTGTTTTCTCTTCCTTTTCAATCTCGGGTAGGTTCGGTTGCCCAAAACTTAAAAGGGTTCCAAGTAAAACAGCAGTACAAATAAGAATTGGAGACGCAGACGCTAACAACGAAAACAGAAAAGGAAATGATCGTTGCAGAAATATCAAGAAACACAAAAGACCCACAAGGAGAGGATGACTGCAAACTAATCTAAAACATCCTCTGATTGTACAGATCACAAATTTTCTCATTTTAACTCCAATTTCCAACAATCCAACACCCATTTTTCCCCCCCAATTCTTACTCTCAATAAGTAAACCTCAGTTTCAAACCTGCCACATAATAATTTTTTCCACCAGATCAGTCATATCAATTCCCAAAAACAATAAACAATTAAAAAGTCACACTAATCAAGAATTTACCTTATATAAATCAATCGAGAAACTAAATATCAGATTATGATTCAATCAGTACCTGCAAAGCCAAAAACAGAGGAAGATGAGACTTCTCAGAAGGTAGAAAAATCATGGTAGAAAAAAGTAAGAATTTTATAATAATTGGAAAGAATTCAACTTCATCGACTTAAAAATAGAGATCAATATCCCAAAATCGAAGTATAAAATAAAAAAATACTTTACTTCACGTAAATACAATTCTCTGCTTTCCACTTTTTCTTTCCTTTTTCACCTCAACTACAGCTATAAATCCAGTGTTCAGTACGAGTTTTTAATATTGAGTATTGAATTGCATAAAGCAAAATGGGTTACCCAAATGAAGAGAAAAAGAATGTGAAAATAAAAAAGGATCTTTCTTTTTCAATCTCAACTTCGTCTTCTTTAATTCAAAGGTGATAATATTTTAATAATAGTGTTTAACGAGAAAATTTCATTCGAGGTCATCTAATGTACATGTTTGTTTCACACTAGTCATTTAACTTTAATTTAATTCAATCTGGTCATCTTAGTTATATTTTTTATTTCAATTTAATGATACGTCTATATTGAAAGTAATGGAATTGTTGACTCGACCAACAAAATTCGTATTTTGGCTTATACTTTTGACAACACAATTTATGTTCTAAAAAGCACAAATTCTGCATTTTAAAAAGGATTGGCCTTGCAATTTCCTTGTAGCAAACGACATGTAAAAAAATTAAAAATAAAACAATAACTCAACTAATCATGTCACAAATTCTACCTGTTAGATCACAATTTTGTCGCGAATTCTTCAATTTTGATAAGGTTTGTTGGGAATTAGTCGCATCAAAATTAAAAATATTAAGTTAGGTGATGAAATTTAAATAAATTTAGTTGAGTGACCAATATGAAATAAAAACATTAATCTATTTCACTTAAATGATAGATATGGTAATCTGCATGCTAATGATGAATCTGATCCGTCAGATTGATCATTATGATTGTATTAGAGGGATGACATCGTTAATATGTTGCTTGGAAAAAATAACAATAAAAAATCAGACAGCCGGGATTTGAGACCACAGCCCCATGATCTATAAGGTTGAGCGCCTGAGAGTATTCTTTTTTATAGAGAGAAACTAATTTTTATGCGTATAAAAAATTCCGGGCCGAATTTAAGATCGGACTAAGAAATTACGCAGCATACACATAGTAGGGCCTGTGGGCCCCTAGGGGCCATGCGATGGTTCATTTCAAGTGGTATCGCTTTCATTTCTTGTGCAAATTTCAATTTTTACCCCAGTAGCTTCATGATATACTCGTCACGCCGATTAATTCCCCCCCACGACATAGTTCTTGTTTGGAAGTGATTTTTTTGAAGAAATCTTCCACCAGGACAAGCATGCGAATTCCACTATGCAACGACGGTGGGCCCTACCAGACATGCCTCAACGATCACAGTTTTGATCTCGGGGATAGTAATGAAACATCAGTAAACCTATGATCTCACACAGAAACATATGTATCATTGTTAGTATGATAATATTAAAAAGCTTGTTGGGAACGGAGAGGCAAGAGAATCAAGAGAGAAAAATGAAACTCACTGCTGATTTTCATCTTGTGCAAGGACGTGAAAAAAATACAAATGAAATTTTTCGTGGCCAGGGGAGATTTGCAAGAAAACAAATATTTACATTCGACGTATGTTTAGTATGAAATCCAAATGCAGCAGCAGAATGCCACAAGGAATGGAGAATGAAGAAGAATAGATTAACTAAAGAAGAACAAACAGTACTTTCTAGTTAAAAGAATTTTCAAGACAGCACAAGAGCACGGGGTGTAACATACCTACAATTTTCACTCTCGGCAAATCTTGTTGCTGTCCAACAGCCTGGCTCCAACAACACGAATAGCACTGCATAAAAACTTGTCAAATGTTTGTGCACCAAATAATGCAGAAGGATATATTCACACACCTGCGCAATTAACTGGTTTCATCCAACATTATACTGGATGGTATCTTCCATTTCCACAAAGCCACGAACATTAATCCAAAGGGTTGATTTTCTAACATCAATCAGATACTAACATTACGAAAGTAACTACATTCAGATACTAACAACTGTAGCACTTCCGAGTCCCAACACATCAACCAGGATCATCATTGATATCATTTTAACAGTATGCGTCTAAAGCTCAAAACTGAGCACATAAATCCTGTATCACTAAGAGCATGTTTGGCTAAGATTAAAAAGTTCTTACAAGTACTAAGCAAGCAATTAGAATTAAGAAAAAAAGTCAAATAACCAGAAAAAAAGTAGCTTTAAAGTTAAAAGGTGACATGCTCTAAGTGCATTTCCTAATCTCTGAAATCTCAGTATACACCCAAATAAACCTAGCAACATTTGACCAAAAAGTGAATGAAAACACATTAACGGTTACAGTGATTCCCAAACAACATGCTCATAAATTTCTTAACTCAGCGCCTACTGGAAATCATTGTAGAGTCTTCCCTGCAACATGATCATAAACCTAGGGTTCAGAGTTAATGCAACATTTTCAAACACTTGACTTAGGTGAGTGCTGTAAAATATTTCACAACTGTTGTGCTTCCACTGTGATTTCAAACCTCATAGACGTGCATGAAAAACAATTATAAAGAAGATACATATATATGTCAGATTCTGTTGATATGAAAAGTAATTAGATTGCAAAAATATAGCTAATTTTCAATAACTCTACTACATTTACATATATTAGTTTGGTTTGTACAGAAACAAGAAATTTGAGTTACCATAAAATTAAAAAGAAAAGGTTGGAACACGAAAATTGTGGCAAGGAAGAAGAAAAGAATAGTCATATCAAACAATACAATATCATGAGTCAGATTCAGTCATGCATAGCTTACATCCGAAGTTCTCTATGGGGTCAAAAGGAGAACAGTAGTTATAAGGAAGTTTTCTCTATTTAAGGCCTCACAATTTCAGTTCTTCAAGCCGAAATTACTATCTTAATGAGATTTTGCTTTCTATAAATAAATGCTAATTTCTGAACTTATATCCATGCAAGACGTAGAAAAGCTTCCTTCGTATGGAAGAGTTAGTTTTCTCGGCATAAACCCCAGAGTCACCACCCAAGGAGAGATATCTCCTCAAGTCATCTCTTTCTAAATTCTAATACATAAGTTATCTTTAACAGCATAATCAGAAAGAAAATGCCACAGTAGTCAAATCTAATAATCGAGTAGGAGAAACAGAGTTCTATTTTATTTACGCTATATCATTGAGTTAAATGTTTTTAACATATCTCTTCAGGATCAAAGCCATCAACAACAATTAGTTTCAATCAACAATGAACAAATCCTGAAAATACACAATTATTCACTAGTTGTCCGCATACAAAAATCTGCTGAAGTTGTCCTGGGGAAATTACTATCTTGTCAAAAAGGACAATCCTTATCTTTAAGGTCGTGAGCAATGTTGCAATCAGCAAAATCCATTTGTTCCACAGAATTAAGTAGCAAGGATTAGAACATCACCAAGCTAGTAGAAGTCCCAACAACAAACGGTTCCATTAGTAGTCTTGTCAAAAAGTAAAACATGATTCCCAAAGTAATCGATATGGGAAGCGCTGGCAACGCATGATGAGAGACTTCCAACAATATGAGAGTACATCCAAGTCCTGATATAATCGTGAGATAACGAGCATAAACAGTCATCAAATCATACATTGCCGCCCTACCCACCAACACACTATAGAAAACAAAATCCCCAAGGCCAAGCTTCAACCCCCTTAATCCTGTTCTACCCATATCCTCCCCCTGACACTCATTCTCTCTGGATCCGCTATTACTTCTATTAAACTCGAACAAGCCAACATTATCTTTGTTTGTCCTCTCACTTGGGGTTGATAGTCTTTCAATTAAACTACTACCACCAATCAAAGGAGAGCTCTCTCCTACATCCTCTCTTACCACTTCAATCTCATTACTTTCATTTTCCAGCAAATTGATTATGGACTCCCCATCCCAAATTGCCAATTAGTTTTCATTATTATCATTATCATTCCTCAACACCACTTGCAACTCAACTGCACCACCATTACTACCACTATTATCTCCCGTAACCCCACCAACCAAAAGTCCCAAACTCGAGCCCCTAATGCCTGACCTACCCATATCCACAGTTGGTCTCACCTCGTACATCAAAGCTGGCAACTCTTCATCCCGACTTGCTGCCAACTCCACCAACAATTTTAATGGCCCACCAGGCGCCAAAACCGCCACCGAATCATAAACAGCCAGCGCCACCAATAAAACCCAAGCAGTCCATTCAGGCAACTTGGTAAACCACGCCGCCATGATAATCCCCAAAGCCACCATATAACTCTGTTTCAACGCAAACGGTCCACCACTCGACAGAACACAAAGAGTACCCACAATCGTAAAATTAAAATGCAAAACACAGAACGTAACGACATCGACGGGAAAACTAAAATGCTGAATCAGTGAAAGCAGAACAGACCCTCCCATAGCCGAAAACACAGCAAAGGCAGAAAAGCGCGTGTACTGCACGAGAAATCTAGTAAAGTTATAGTAGTAAAGGAGAACAAGAAGGAATGTCACAAAAGCTATTAGAATAATGAAAACGGCGGCGTTTAAGAGAGAACCCTCAAGTTTTTGTGCGGTGGAATCGGTGGGGGAGTCCATGTAGACCAAATTGGTGGCGGTCCTGATGGTGGTGGTGGTGGCGGGATTGTAGAGGGAGTAGACAAGCAGGACTACAAGGAACATGCAGATGGAAACTGGGGACATTACGCCTATGATTTCTTGGCCGATCGAATCTAGGATGCTGCCGCCGGGCTCCATTTTTGTAAAAAATGTGCGATTGGGGTGATGGAGTGAGGGGAAGCAAGGGAAATTGAAAGAGGAAAGAAAATGAAGGAGAGAGGATTATTTCAAGGATTATGCTAGATGTATCAAAAATGCTGTTTGTACAAAATGCTTTGACAAAGTTGGCTGTCAATGTGAGGTGTAAGGTGGAGATGAAATGAGTTTGGACGGTCGTGATTGTCACATGAAAAATGGGCGCCAAAATGGAGGTGAGGGCCGGGAAAAAATTCACAAAAGCCGAAAATTTTGTCCCTCTCCCACAAACATTTTCTCTCTACCATTTCCCCCAAATCTATTCTCCAAAACTGCAAACTTCACAGCAACTGAAATTACACAAAATCATAACCCATTTTGTTTACGCCTATGATTTCTTGGCCGATCGAATCTAGGATGCTGCCGCCGGGCTCCATTTTTGTAAAAAATGTGCGATTGGGGTGATGGAGTGAGGGGAAGCAAGGGAAATTGAAAGAAGAAAGAAAATGAAGGAGAGAGGATTATTTCAAGGATTATGCTAGATGTATCAAAAACGCTGTTTGTACAAATGTTTTGGCAAAGTTGGCTGACAATGTGAAGTGTAAGGTGGAGATCAAATGAGTTTGGACGGTTGTGATTGTCACCTGAAAAATGGGCACCAAAATGGAGGTGAGGGCTGGGAAAAAATTCACAAGCCAAAATTTTTGTCCCTCTCCCACAAACATTTTCTCTCTACCATTTCCCCCAAATCTATTCTCCAAAACTGCAAACTTCACAGCAATTGAAATTACACAAAATCATAACCCATTTTGCGCGGATTATGCAGCACACAGGTACATATACAGAGATTGAAATTGGACGACAAGTTGCTTGTTTCTTCCACTCCAACCATGTCCTCCATCTTCGGAATCGGGTCTTTGCAAATGACGGTAAGAATGTGTGGTTTTAGGGTGAACTCTACCTCCGTCCGAGATTGGAGTTGTTCATAGGAGCCATTTAATATGGTTTTATGAGGCTTTCTTTTTTTGTCATGTATGATGTATTTCAAAGATATGTCCAAGGTCAAATTGAGAATTTTGTAATGTTGTCACTTTGTCATCAAAACAGGTTTTTGAAATGTCTTTTAAATGGATCTATTAGAGGGGGTATTAGGATTTAGCCGTCCATCTGGACAAGTCTCACCGGATACTGTACGAGGAAAAATATATAAAATGATATTACATCTCTCAGGATCTGTAGAAGTCCATAGACGAATTTTAAGATCTTGCAAAGGTCACTAAAATAACAATACTAAGATCATGAGCACTATGTATATTGCATTTCAGCTGAAGGTATTAAGTGCATTAGGTTGTACCTTGTAGAATTCTACACATGGCATTTGATTTCTCAATTTTGACACAGCATCAAGTCTAACATGAGATATGCTTCCATTTATAGCAGTTCTCTCCCATAGTAACTTCATTATTAAAAGAATACTCCCAGATGCCTTCATAAATACAGGTTATGGCTATTAGAGACATTGGCAACAGTTTGTTTGAAATAAAATTCTTTTAAATCTTACCTTGTAATGTCATCTCTTATAGAACTACGAAGCTCTGCTCATTGTAATGTCTTCTGGGATGATAATCGGTGCAGGCAAGCATATAAAGAATTCGAGGATGTTGTGACATTTGATACAACCTACCTTACCAATAAGTTTGATATGCCCTTCGCTCCTTTTATTGGTGTGAATCATCACGGACAATCAACGTTGCTTGGTTGTGGTTTGCTATCGAATGAGAACACAGATACATTTGTGTGGTTGTTCAAGACATGGTTGAAGTGCATGTATGGTGAAGCTCAAATCAAGACAGAGCGATGCAAAATGCAATTGAGATAGTTTTTCCGAATACTAAACATATATGGTGTCTTTGGCACATATTGAAAAAGTTGCCTGAAAAGTTTGTGCAATTGAGATAATTCTTTCGAATACGAAACATAGATGGTATCTTTGGCACATATTGAAAAAATAGCCTGAAAAGTTTGGATATCATGTGGATAAGGCTTTGATATTTTCGAATATACATGTATTGGTTTATGATTCACAATTTGTTGAAGAATTTGAAGAAGGTTGGAGAGTGATGATTGATACGTATGACTTACGCAATGACAATTGGTTATTCGGATTGTACGAAAACAGAGGTCGTTAGGTGCCATGTTTTTTGAAAAAATCTTTCTGAACTGGTATGTCAACAACGTAAAGAAGTGAAAGTATGAATGCCTTCTTCGACGGTTATGTACATTCGAAGACATCGTTGAAGCAGTTCGTCGAACAGTATGAGCGAGCGCTAAAAAATAAGGTAGAAAAGGAATTTCAGGCTGATTTCAGTTCTTTCTCTCAAATGATACCGTGTGCAACCACGTACGAAATGGGAAAAAAATATCAGGAATTGTACACCCTATCGAAGTTCAGGGAAGTTCAGGTCGAATTTATAGGAAAGGTGTATTGTGACCTCATCTCTACTTCAGAAGGACATCAGGGGACAACGTATCAGGTATGTGAGGACGTTGTTTATGGTGAGCGACGACGGAGGAAAAATTTTCAAGTGGAATTTCATAAAGAGACCTGTGTAATCATCTGTAGTTGTCACCTGTTCGAATTCCGGGGTATAGAATATAGGCATGCGATTGCAATATTGATACCCAACCAGGTGGCCGTGATGTCAGATCGGTATATACTGTGCAGATGGAGGATGGACGTTAACAGAGAACACACGCGGATCGCCTGAATTATGTCGGTATGGTTAGTACCCCTGGACAATTAAGGTAGACGAGATGTGTCAGGCATTTACCACTGTGGCAGACCTTGCTGCGGATGATGAAGGGAGGTATTGTGATATCATGGATCAACTTCAAAATAAAGAGCTTAGGTTGACGAAGTCGAGTTCCGATAGTAATACAAATTTGCAGCTTATTGCATTTTAAAATCAAAGCAACGAGACTATCAAAGACCCTATATCGTCGAAGAAAAAGGGAGCCCCGAAGAAATTGCGGAGAAAAGGCCCATTGGAGGCGAGAGCTAAGAAGTCAAAGGTATATTCCTATGAATAAAAACTATTTTTAGTCAACATACATCAATACAGTAATAAAAAAAATTCTTGTGTGTATGCAGGAATGATCAAAGAGCATAGCAGGAAAGGTTCCGCCACCTCCTCAACAACATCATTTAATCCCAATGTCCATACTCGTTTTCACAACTCCTAATCGTAGGTATATTAAATTCACATTTTTTAAATAATCGGGTTTTTATGCACTTTTTTTATAAGTAATGCCAACATTATGATGTAGGGTCATGGTATGAGCTAGGTGTTCACACAACAAATGTCGTCGTCCACATTCATCCAGACTACGACACATGTTTTTCCAAATTCACAAGGTACTTATATGTTTTAATCGCCCAACGTACAATTGACAACTAATCAACTCTTATTACTTTCAATTCACATGTCAGGAAATGAGAACCCATACAACGATTCATATTTACGACATCATCATGACTCCTGTTAAATGGAGGTGAACAACATCATGACAATAAAAATTAACATGTTATTGCAAGCAGCCTTTTCCCAGGAGAGCTTCATCATGACAAGGCAGATTCTGGGGGTGTAGATTTTCATTTCACGTTTGTAATTGTTCATTTGAGGATGTGCTTTCTATGTATGGAATTCATATGAGTATTTCGTCAAGTTCTTTATGAATATAAGATGTATGTTTGTGTCATCTGAAGACTCGGGCCATTGAACTTCTTTTCTAAATTTGTATTGCAATATAATTTACCAAACAAGTTGATAAGTTGGATTTTTTTTAAAAAAAAAATTTTGGATTTTATTCTGAACCTATTTCAAGGTTGCTAAAATAGATTTGTTAACAAATTGAGATTCAAATTAACTAGGACAATAATAATTTTAGTGCACAGGAGTAGCAAGTTCTTCAACAAAAATAGATTATGTTTTGGTGACTGTACAAAATTTATTGCTAATTAGTCTACTAGGATGAGTAAATCAAGCATTCACCAAACTGAGAATATTATAATTTCAACAACGTCCAAGGTACAAGAAGTAAAAAATTTTACTTCAACCAAAATGTACCAATTGACTGCACTAAACTAGTCGACCAATTTCAAATTTACAAAATCCCTCTATTAACAACACATGACTAGTTCACCGTAAACAATTAATCAAGCTCGGCGGACCGTCACATTCACGGTCACAGTAATCAATAGCTCTTCTTCGTTATTCAGTCGAACTTGAGATTGGAACATTCACGATATATCTTCAACTTCTTCATCCGCTTGTGGTTTAGCCCTAGTACCGCTAGATTCATCGTTTACTTCTCCATCTTTGCACCAATCCCAAAAGCCACACTTCACACTGCAACATTTGAAGAATTTGCCTTTGTTAACAGTGTCCTTTTCAATCTCGAAGAACTTTTGAAATCCATGCACACAAAGTGGACATCGACGTTTTATCGGGCAATCACTGAAGAAGTGTCCAACACTCCTACAACCATGACAAACCTCGGAGTTTTTTCCCAACATTCTATGTTCCTGAAACAAATTAATTCACATTCATGTCTACCAAATGTCAAAATAATAAAATCAGCATCTAAGTTATATGTTAAACTGAAAAACCAGCATCTAAGTTAAACTAGATTCAACTGAAAATCTTCAGCATCTAGGTTAAATGTTAAATTGGAAAATCAGCACTTTAGTTAAATGTTAAACTAAAAACTCAGCATCTAAATTAAACTGAAAAACCAAAAAATTCAGCATCTAAGTTAAATGTTGAAACTGAGAAATCAACATCCAAGCTCAACTGAAAAATCGAAACTCCAGCATCTAAGCTCAATATTAAAACTCAAAAATCAGCATCTAAGTTCAACTGAAAAACCGAAACAGAGACTATAAATTTTACCAAATCATGCAAATAAACCCTAAACCGTGAAAGAATTAACTAATCTACAAC